ATGTTAATACGATACGTCGCTATACGTCACTACGACATGTCAATACTGATACTTCTTATATACGTTGGATTGCTGACGTAGTTTATGCATGACATCGTATCCCAAATGCTCATGCTGTCAATCACCGGGTTGTCTGGTCCAGACCTGATTATTTACAGGCCGCCTTGATATAACTGGAATATTGCTGAGTTATTAAACAACAAACATATTTATTATATACAGTTAAACTTCTTAAGCTCAAATGATATGAAGTATCCGTAATTCGAGACAAATTGTGTGCCGAAACAAACAATTCCAAAAAGGAATTGTTTCGAAACATAAACCGGATCGTCTTAAACTATATGATATCGAGTTAGTGCAGTTCGAGATAACGCGTTTCCCTTGTACATGGACCAATCACGCATGCACACCGACTCCCCATTGCGAATACCTGCTGTTGCCTTGTTATGAGGAATCATACATCCACCTACAATGCAGCACTTCGTTCATCTTCCCAAGGCAAGAAAGTTAACTGACTAAAAAAGTCCAGTTTCCACCCTTGCCGAACTAGGCTGGTCTTATGGGGTTACATTTTGGCTGGACTAACGAGTCTATGCATAGTCCAATCAAAATCGTGCATCGAAATCGAAATCCGGTTCGTAAACTGTCCTGCGATTTCGGTCGATTGCAGGATTTGTAAAGCATGTGCACCGCCAACTCGTTGTCAACAGATATTTTCCAAATCTTTTCATGTTTTTAATCAAGGTGCTCACGCATTGCGCGATGTAAGACCCGTTTAATCACAACATAGACCTTGATTATCGATCAGATCGTTTTGACTGGGCGCCACTGTTTTGTTTCAAGCAAATGCAAGTGATACGAGAGGTGGAATCTGATTGGTCTAAGGGAGAGGCTCAGAAGGGACATAACTCGTAATAGCCACTGGTGGCGCTACGATAGAGCCCAGGAATATCAGCCTAGTTCGGCAAGGGTGGAAAATGGACTTTTAAAGTCAGTTAACTCTCTTGCCTCGGGAAGATGCACTTCGTTATGTCCGGGATTCAGTGTTCACTACACTTATCGAGTAATCGTATTAGCCGATATGTCGTAACATCCGGAGTTGTAATTTTGGCTGTATGAACTTTATAGAGAGGACTGCTTCCGTGTCAAAGATCATAAATCGGAACTGGTTCAATGCTGCTTATTTCTGTTCCAGGTCCAGTTGGAGTCAGTTTTGGCGGATGAATATATAACGCATTAATTTGTCAACCACGGGAATTTAAACTTTGACCTTAGAGAAGCCCTTCTAGCCTGTAGCTCGCTGTACAAAAGCCACGATCTTTGCAAGCCAATTGAGGATGTTCTGATGAGAGATCTTGGAAGTGGTTAGGGATGTTATATGTGATTAAAAGTTACGATTATCAACATTGGGACTTGTTTTTAATTGTGTTGTGTGATACCTCCACGCAGCTGTGACAAATGGAGCTGATCCCGGTACAAGCTGGACATGAGGCCTTGTTCTGACCACCTGGCCAGGAACGAAAAAGAAGAAAACACTCTTCAAGTAGTGTTGTAAGTGAATCAAATACTTTCGGTCTCACACATGAAAATCGCTGTCCAGTTCTGTCAGCAATAATAATATACTATTAAGAGATTCATTACTTTCCTATGACACAGAGCTCACGCGGACGTTCATTCACATTATCTTAAAGAGTACGGGCACGTCTTAGCCGTGTTGTCAGAATTCTGATCGAGCGTTCGAATCTAAAATTATCACTGGTTATGACCCTTTTTATTTTATTTTTTTTCCCACCAATAGAATTAACACGATTTCCACAACCCCTTACATACCCACGTAGTTAAGGGTTTCTAGGATGGTAAGAATTTCTTTCAATAGTGAATGAGGCAATAGTGGGGTGTATAGGGTAGTGGTTGTCCATCAGAAAAGAAGGGTGTTGATGAGGAACTAGGATAGCAGTATCTGATCTAAGTTAAGAATTTACCATTTTTGGTTTATCTTAACACTGTCTCAGGTATATATATATATTTATGATGTAGTAATTCTTTATCAGATATAATATTTGGCTAAAGTAAGGAATGCTATTTCCATGGCGGCTAAGGTTAATATATGTTTTCAAAATAATACAAAGGTGGTTTTCGGAAATGCTACGGTTGGGGTCTCCAATTATGAATAACACATTATCGAGATGCAGGGTCTTACTAGTTCTTTCTTCATCCCATTGAATGATTTTTTAAAAGGTTTCTAGAATCATTGAAATAAAAGAAAATACGTTCTATAATCTCAGATTCTTGATTGCATGATTCATCTTCACTTTTTTCAATATTTTGCAAAACCGACTTTTTTATATACTTCAGTGGAAAGACTGAATTTTCTGAAGTTGACAAAAGCGAAATTTTCATTGCAGAGAACATAATACGTGACATTTCATTGCTGTGAACAGAACACTTTGACGGAACTATTGTCATACAAGAGTTACCTCCCCTCAAATTGTCTCCCTTTATCGTAAGTGTCTAACCCTACACAAATTGTGGACGTCCTTTTTACGTTAGTTCCACATTGACAAGGCAACATAATGACAGATGGTCATTCATGTAGTTAATATCGCTTCATTGCGATTGTTATTTTCTTGAAATGCTTCGTTGTAAACTGTTAATTTCTCATTTAAACCGTCAATCGAACTGTTCGTTTCGCAAATCACCATTGTTGTTACTTGACCAGCGTGTATTCTTTCGTTTACAACAGCGGTCTCGTTTTGTGAAAGTTGATTTTGTATATAATCACATCTATATACATGATACAGAATTTTCGACCCTAAAGCGTTTTTGTTACACGAAACCACTTGTTTAGTTTCAAATACTAGGGGTGGTCACTCATCCCTGTGTGTAAGATAGGGAGAATTTACGTTTCAAGGTTTTACATTTGAAAAAAAATAATTAATTTTCCGGTAGCCAACTACACAACATGTATATAATAAATAGGATATTTTATGTATCGAGTGAAATGTCATGTTTCTCCCATCTAGTGACGGGGAAAGAGAAACATGATATTTCACTCGACACATGAAATATCCTCTATATTTGTAATAATTCTCAATCTCGTTAAAATCAGATCTTAGTTCTCGCTGCCGTTTAGCGGTATAATGGATCCATGGATAGGTTTGTACAGATAGGCTTCAGATAATGTCACAGTTAGCTTCAACTCCCGCGACACAGTATATCGAGTGAGTTGGCTAGTACTTTACTTAACATTTTAGGTATAAATTTACAATCGTTAGCTAACTGCATATCTAAGAAGATTTTGACAATGTTTATCTTGTCTTTGAATGGCATATAGAGTGAGTGAGTGAGTTGGGTTTAACGCCGCTTTTAACATTATTCCAGTTATATCGCGGCGTGTCAGCTTAATGTGGGAGGAAAGCCCGAAGTGATGGAGGTCTCACACGTTTACCACTTTGGTGAAACCCACGAGCACGGGTATGGTGCTGACAAACCTAGAAACATAATCGGGGCGAACCGGGATTCGAACCCACAATCATAGGTTTCTGGCGTGCCCAAGGGACGCAACTCTGCACAGCGAATCGCTGCGCCTAAGACGACTGGGCCACCCGTGCCCCCGAATGGCATATAGAAGTGATACACAAAAGGAAGAGAATTTATGGATGGAAACATCTTTATTATGAGGAACACAACGTTTCGGAGTTTACACTTACTCCTTCATCAAGTGAATGAATGCTATGATGCAGAGAACATATGTATGTACCCGTAAGAACAACAAACGTAATACGATAGGTGGAAACAAGGGACGCCAACAGTTAATTGGCACTGATGGGTGATTAGCAATGGACAAATGGATGCTAACACTTAACAGTTAATTAGCGCTGATAGATACATATATATGCTCTCTAGTTTGTCATAGACTTGATGTCGACCATATCAGTATAACAAAGTTTTTCGTAACATAAACACACTTCCAATGGGATAAAGATAAACCTTATATCCTACCCCATCCTTTGCATGAATGAGACTCGATGGTTCTTGCAACAAAAATACACTTTAGTTTGTGGTTAACTACACAGATCAGTCTACTGACGGGCGGTCGAGTAGCCTAGTCGAGTAGTCTGCAGCTCGTCACGCTGGAGACCCGGGTTCGATTCCCCACATGGGTACAACGTGTGAAGCCCATTTCTCGTGTCCCCGCCGTGATATTGCTGGAATATTGCTAAACTCACACACTCTGCTGACACAACATTCAGTATGAAGCACTGATAACGTCATCTATGACGCAGCGGTTCGCTGTGTAGAGTGAGTGAGTTGTACTTTACGTCACTTTTAGCAATATTCCAGCAATATTCCAGCAATATCACGGCGGTGAACACCAGAAATGGGCTTCACACATTGTACCCACGTGGGGAATCGAACCCGGGCCTTCGACGTGACGAGCAAACGCTTTAACCACTAGACTACCCCACCGCCCCTCGCCGAGTAGAATTGATGTAGGAGTATTACAGTTACATCACGGCTTGTCAGCTGCTTGTAGGAGTATGTCAGTTACAGTCTCAGACGTTTAACCATGATCACAGGTTTCACGTACATTTCAGGCTTTCGTCCCATATCAAGCTGACATCTTGGATGTAACTGAAATAATCCCACGTCAGGCTGACATACCATAACGTAACTTAAATACGCCAAACTCTTTATACACAAGACCGCATCCGTGATCTAATGGTAGAGCGTCCGCCCGGAGAGCAGAAGGTCCGGGGTACGATCACCGACCGCGTCATACCAAAAAACGTTAAAAGATGGTACTTGTTGTTACCCTGTCTGGCGCTCGGGATTAAGGGGCTAAAACAAGGACTGATCGGCTCGGAGTCAGTATGCTGTGTCTCAGAGGGGTATTCATGTTAAACTGCGGCATGGTATCTCAGTGAGCTAGCACTATAAATCGGCATCAGTCCGGACTAGTACAAGCAGGCACACAAACACACACACGTACATGCACGTCGCTATATAAGTGCAACAATCTTTGACACGACGTTAAACCCCATTTCACCACCTTTTTACACAAACATGTATATGGTGTCTATACTCAAGGCTTCGATCACTATTAGATCTCATATCAACCAAACAAGCTAACTTGTTTACAAATGCATTATTTTGCTCTTCCTGAATAAATGATATATGTACACGTATATTTACATATGAACACTATCTACATGAACACTCTTCACAGTCTACCATCAAAATTTTGTATGTTAGACGTGGCAATTTTTCTTTTGGGACAACTCTTTTTGCCCTAAGTCACTCTCTGTCGCAGAGATCTCACTGTCAGTATCTCCGAGGTAACCTTTGTTGATATTCCCGTTGCCATATTTGGATGTTTCCATATTGAATGGACTGTCGAGGGGTGGTTTCTCACCAACCTCGGCATCGGGTGTCACCGCGGGAGTGTCTTTGGCCCAATCTAGTTCTTCACCTTTGGCAAACACCACAAACACTAGCCCCCCGACAATGTTAAATCCAGCCACCAGGAAAAAAACGATCCGCCATTCTTGTTGGGTGTGCTGAAATGTAAGAGGTAAGGGGCATTGGTTTGACGCGGCTTTGAGCAGTATTTCGGTTCTATAACGGTATTAGCTTGGTGTGGAAGGAAAGAGATGCATGCCTCAAACGTTTGGACAAGAGCATATTGCATCATTAACACTGGTCAGGTCATAGTCCATCCAGCTACAATGTCAATAACATCAAGATATATCCTTTACTCTCTGCGGTAAAGTTCTAATACCCCAAATCAGAATCAGTCGTTCAACAAACAGTTTTGGCAGACTGAATTATCTGGTAACTGTGATTGGCTGATTTTGTGTTTTTATGTTTTTGAAATGTACATCCATCCAGTAATTATAACTGACCATGCTTTTTCTATATTTAGTGCGGTCCTTTTAAACATGATAACTTATGCTGAATGTGACCACAGATATTTTCGAGCAAATAACATTTGGTGCGGAACTGGGGGTGGTGTGTTTAACTTCCTGTACTCGGCTGAGTTGGCTAAGCTAGTCATTTTTTGTGCTTTTATTGCTGCTCTAAGGCCACACTGTGCACACACGTACAGGTAATAGCATGGTTGCTCAGTAATTTTAAAGAAAATATAACGTTACTATAGAAGTCTATGGAAATCATTTGGTTGTGTGTGTAACCTTAAGATATGATGACACCTCCATAGTAGGTGACGTCGGGAGAACCCTGAGCGAACTATAGCTGTCCAGTCTAAATGAAGAATGCGTGGGTCAGCCAATCAGCTCTCAGCTTTCTAAAACTACTGGCGCTTCATGGCCTCAACACCTCGATTCGGATATTTCGATTCTAACAAAAAGAAAATTTACACAGAACACAACTATTCCTTCGACGGTACTCATCTTCGGGTGCAGATGTCACGGCTTTCAAATAGACAGGATATGGAACAAATCAACGACAATCGCACCTATAATTTGGAGTGAGTGAGTATGGTTTTACGCCGCTTGTAGCGACATTCCAGTAATATCACGACGGGGGACACCAGAAATGGGCTTCACATATTTCACCCATTTGAGGAAACGAACCCGGGTCTTCGGCGTGACGAGCGAACGCTTTAACCACTAGGCTACCCCACCGCCCCAAAAAATTAGAAACCCCGACGCTGATTTGCTGTTGTTCACGTGACACGGCTTATTATGGAGGTGTCGCCGGATCATGTAATAGAGACGTATTGTCACGGAGTACAAGGCCTGGTTTTAATGAGACTGGCCACAAAGAAAATACTTCTGGATTACATGACATGACAGGGGAGGTAACTCTGACAACATTCAGTACCATTTCACAATGCTATCCCAATCTCATTAAAATCAGATCTTAGTTCTCCCTGCCGCTAAACAAAGATCTGAGGACATCCCATTACGGGTCACGTCAGATCGACCTTTCGCGAACTCTGACCGACCAATGGAATTACTGACAAGAAGTCGACATTAGCCAGTCAGAAGGCAGCTTTCTCGTGCTTTACGGCAATAATTTCAAATTTGGTACTACGCTTCGAAACATATTTTGACAAATTCTCGCTTAAAAATTTAAAACCTGAACAAAAGAACACTCTCGAATGGCTAGTATATGGTCTAGATGGTATGCATTCAGTCGTTAAGCCCGTAACTATCGTTCGTAATACCCCGGTTTAAAGTTTTCGAGGCTGCATGATTAGAAATCACTTTCCGACTGTCACTTTCATGATCTTGTAAGCGATGCTCTGATTGGTCGGATGAAAGGTCTTGTGACGTGACCCCCAATGGGATGTCCTCAGATCTTTGTTTAGCGGTAGCGAGAGCTAAGATCTGATTTTAATGAGATTGAATGCTATCCGGACATTTGAATCCTAGATATAATAAGAACAGCTATGCACTAGTTTCGAATATGTTCTGAAAAACACGCGATGGTTACAGTGGGGGTCTAGAGCCCCCTCCCCCGCGTTTTATAAAAAATGTGTAGTATGTACTAGGCAGTACAAAAGAGAGGATTTCGATAATTTTGACCGCTCCATTTTCAAAATCCTGGATCCGCCCTTGATAGTTACTTCGATTTAATCCCAGAATCCGCACGGCGATCTTACAACACAGATGCAATATTTCTAATTGTCACGTAAAACATATTTGGTAAGGTAGTATGTGCAATATTGTTTCTCGTAACTTGGATGTATCGTAAATCTATCACGAAACATATCATTTGGTTGTTAAGAACATTGCGACCAGCCAAAGGGAAGTAACCCTTCATTGCCTTGCAAACATCTAAAGGAAAGTAACGATCCCGCACACTACAACAGGGAAGTGTTCGTATCCGTTCGGCTGAAACATTTTTCGAACAGGCAGCAAAGGAATATTACTCTACCAAATATTGCATGCAATTATTTGTTAAATAAGCTAAGTGCTCACCTCTTGGACAATTGCAGAAGTGATGAGAGGAGCGGAAAGGGCCGCAGCGAAAGCACACGTCATGGTGATTCCCATGAGAACGCTGGCGTACCTGAAATATGGACAAACATCAATTACCATCAACAAACAGAAGCGACCAGGGTGCCGTTGTACAGAGCGATCTTAGCGCTAAGGTGATCGCACGCCGATACCTTAACATAGACTTAGGACTGTCGTAGCCCTAAAGTTCCGATCCATTTAGTCCACTGTTACAATAAGCAAATTACTGGGCCAAATCTGAGTGAGTGAGTAAGTTTGGTTTAACGCCGCTTTTAACAGTATTCCAGTTATATCGCGGCGTGTCAGCTTAATGTGGGAGGAAAGCCCGAAGTGATGCAGGCCTCGGACGTTTACCACTTCGGTGAAACCCACGAGCATGGGTATTGTGCTGACAAACCGCGAAACATAATCGGGTCGAACCGGGATTCGAACCCACAATCATAGGTTTCTGGCGTGCCCAAGGGACGCAACTCTGCACAGTGAATCGCGGCGCCTTAGACGACTGGGCAACCCGTGCCCCCTTGTCACAACGAAAAAACAAAACCTTTAAGAAGTTTTATCATGCAAAGGACTACGTTTTAAGAAGTATGTGCTGATGAAAACGACGGGCGCTAGCTCAATGTCGTTGTGGTGTAGCTCCTCAGCTGCGGCTCGATTCAGGAAGATGTGAAACTATACCACCCAGTGAGAGATATGGTTTCGCCTGCCCAAATGCTACCGAGAACCAAATCCGTGTTCTCTTTGACTGCCCTATATATACCAGTTTTACTTTACCCATTTTACAACGTTTCAATGAAATAGTTACCGGTTTTGCAGATTTATCTAATGATCAAAAGTTATGTCACATTTTTAGCAACTCATCACTATTAGCCAAAACCTTCAAGGATATTCTACTCACGAGAAGAGCATGTATTTGTGTATGTAAAAATGTATACTTGTATTTATAATTACTGAATCTTTTATATGTGTATACACGCTTAATATACTACACGCTTCGTGTCTTATCTTAGTCTATTATCTATATTGGTTATGTGCACATACACTATTAATCTATCTTATTTATCTATCATATTGTATGTGTATATATCTGATTGTCTTTCATAACTCCTGTAGTTTTGGCTTGAGCATATTTTACTTTTTGGTTGAACACTTTTACATTGTATGTGTGGCCAAGGTGAGATATAAGTAAACTATCTCTCTGTCTGTAGATTATTTATTTTAAGTTCTTTTCTATGACAAAAAGTTGCTTAAAAATACAATTTAATATATATAGGTATAGTTGTTAAAGGGTACCAGTTGGCACCAGGTTGTGTTATGTAGTGTAATAGTCACTTGAACTAATGAAACTAATCTGGTTCCTCGGTGGGAAGGGGCTCAGATATATTTTAAAATGTTATAAGACGTCCTGAAAAAGATCGTTCGGCTATATTGTGCCTCAAGCAATCCCAAATGTGTATGTTAATTTGGATGTCGGACAGTCAATATAACGGACTGAAATTAAAGATCCCATTGGGTGTGTTATATCCGTAGTTACTTCACAGAAGGGAAACATTCTGCACAAGGGTTTGAAGAACCTTGGTCCTTCCTACCTTGGCGCTATATCGAGGTGGTTGATTCTAAAAGCGACCGATGTAAAGTTCTGGAAGGACAAGCCGACGACGAGAAGTACAACCGCCAGAGTCCGATGTTCCTTGTCCAGAAAGCCGATGGTGATGGTACAGGCAGCACACACGACATTGCCTGCAACCCAAATACGACCGTCTGAATGTTTCTCCTCCGTCAGTTTTACATTACCGTCTAGTGTAGAAGATAATGTAACAAAAGCTAAGTACCCATTCGCCCGTCTGAATATATATCCCGCTCCGATAATTTCCTGCTAATAAAAGAACATCTTGTCGTGTTTAATCAGACAGATGGAGGAGTAATGCTACGTGCAGATTAGTGTCTTCTTGTAAGGTCCAATGTTAACAAACTGCTGCAGTATGGCCGTCGAACATTAACGGTGTTATGTGCTTATGAACACCTGATTTTGGATAATTTGGATAATATTCAAAGACTTTTGAGGTCAAGACTTTCCTTTCATATAAATTATACAAAAGCTTTTACTCTCAGCAAAATGACACTCTTGTTGTTTAATCTCAGCAAAATGGGGGTGGTGGGGTAGCCTAGTGGTTAAAGCGTTCGCTCGCCACGCCGAAGACCTGGGTTCGATTCCCCACATGGGTACAAAGTGTGAAGCCCATTTCTGGTTCCCCCCGCCGTGATATTGCTGGTATATTGCAAAAACAGCGGCGTAAAATCATACTCACTCACTTAGCAAAACGACGCTTGTTTTGTATTCTCAGCAACAGGATTCCTGATGTATGAATATTTGCCTTCCCCAAGCTTGCTCTATGAGCATGAAAACGCACAAAAATAATAAAGGTGTCATGTACACTTTTTGGGAGCATTGCACGTTTCAAATCAAGGGAAAGTACAATGGATCAATTGGATCGCATAACATAGTCAACACAAGTTATATCGGGGTAGAATAGGTCTTCAGCAACCCATGCTTGCCGAAGAAGGCGACTATGCTTGTCGTAAGAGGCGACTAACGGGATCGGGTGGTCAGGCTCACTGACGTGGTTGATGCATGTCATCGTATCCCAATTGCGTGTATCAATGCTCCTGATGTCAATCACTGGATTGTCTGGTCCAGACGCGATTATTTACAGACCGCCGTTATGAAGCTGGAATATTACTGAGTGCAACTTCCAAATGTATGCACTCTCTCTCTCTCTCTCTCTCTCTATCTCTCTCTCTCTCTCTCTCTGTTGAGAGTAATTTCATCGGACTGCTATTCTTTAGCGTCGAGCTATTCGAACAGGGCTCAAAACGAATGAGAAATATGGAGATATTGAGATACGCTCTTAATACACTGGGTAATCGAGGTTGTTGTTTGTATTGTTCCACAGCGAACACTGAATCATTTAAAGGTCTCTGGTTTAAACATAATTAAAAATAGGTATCACACTGAATTTATTTATTTTTAAAAACGGATTACCAGTGAACTGGAAGATCTTCCGGACTTGCGCCGTTGTGAATATGTGTTTCTGCAGCACCCAATCAGAAGCAAAGCCGCAAAGAAGCCCGGATATAAAGCGTCCAACAAACGGCATGGAGGCCAGAATGCCGTTCTGCACAAAACAACAGGAATATTAACAGGAGTACAACGAGATCAGATTCCCAGATTTGGGTTCTATCGTCAGGCATTAGGAATGAGGGAATGTTATTTAATGTTTATCATCACTATCAGCAATACTGCAGATATGTCATGGAGGCCTGTAAATAATCCAGACTGGACCAGGCAAACCAGTGAATGAAAGAATGATCAGTCATCTCACCGGGCCTGACCTTCCGATCCATTTAGTCAACTGTTACGATAAGCATAGTTACAAGGCTTTGAGTTGAGTTGAGGAGTTGGGTTTAACGCCGCCGAAACAGTATTCCAGTTATATCAAGGCGAGGCAGCTTAATGTGGGAGGAAAGCTCGAAGTGATGCAGGTCTCAGACGTTTACCACTTTAGTAAAACCCATGAGCACGGGTATGGTGCTGACAAGCCTAGAAGTTTATGTCAGAATCTATCTTCCCGAGGCAAGAGAGTTAACTGACTTTAAAAGTCCAGTTTCCACCCTTGCCGAACTAGGCTGGTTTTCCTGGGCTCGATCGTAGCGCCACCAGTGGCTGTTACAAATCATGTCCCATCTATGCCTCTCCTATGGACCAATTAGATTCCACCTCTCGTGTCACTTGCAATTGTTTCAAACAAAATGGCGGCGTCAAGACAAGACAATCAAGATCTATATTATGATAAAACGGGTCTTACATGGCGAAGTGCATCAAATCATGTGAGCATCTTGATTAACAACGAGTTGGCGGTGTACATGCTTTGCAAATTTCGATTTCGGATCGCCATTTTGATTGGACCAGCCAAAATGTAACGCGGCAAGGGTGGAAGCTGAACTTTTATAACTTTATAACTCCCTTGCTTCGGGAAGATGTCAGTTCATACACCTAGATCGTAATAGCAGTGCACGTATCGCATCTTCGGGTATCCAGGGTATTTTATGTCCATTCAATTATGATACATACCCTGGTCAAAGTCGTCACCATAGTTTCGTTTTGCCCGATTCGCATTCAACGACTCCAAATACATTATGTGCTGAGTTAGAGTGGTAGATTGTGAGGCCACGAAACGTAGCTATGGTGATGAGTGGGTCCTGTGTATTTATCACACTAGATAAGATATTATGCCCTCGATGGCCGAGGATGTCTGGGTGCTGGTGTCTTTGCCTCACCTCCTCTATATCGTAGTCTAGGACCTCCTTCATGTACGTGGGCAGATACGCCATCACCCACGACGTTACCCACGAGTACGAGATGTGAGCGATGATGATGGACCAGAAAGGCAGGGAAGTGAAAATCTTCTTCCATGGGGGATTCGGCATCTGAAGTAGATGTGTATAATATCAGTTCTAAAACAAGTTACCTTAACTTGTCTATATGATAAAATCCCGGGTTATAATATGTCCCCAGCAACCTATACTTGTCGACAGAGGCGACAGAAAATGGCATTTTCCATTTTGACGTTATGAGTTATCTGCCCCTTGTGACACGTGACCGCTGGTAGGCCACCAGAAGGGAACTCTAAACGAACGTATTTCGCAAAACTTGAATTGGCATTTTGGATCGGGTGGTCAGACTCGGAGATAAATAGCGCGATTACTGATGTGTACATGACGTATATTTGCCAGTGAAAATGTCCAGAGTAATACTTGCAATTCTCCGAACAATTTCACTGTTTCAATGTTCCGGTGGATTTCACTGGTAAAGCTACCGTCAGGATTAACGCTATTTCACGATAGAGATCCATAAACACGTGCTTTTGATACAGTCGGAAGTGTACACTGAACTCTGGCTTTGTCAGAGATTTTTTATGAGTGTGGAAACAGTTTCGTCGCCTTGATATTTTTGAGGATTTTCTATTAAGGATTGACTGTGTATTTTTTCGGTTCATTGTGGTATGAATCGAAAAACCGAAGTGCAAACTTTTGTAAGAATCCGCTGTATATTGGGAAATGAATACAATAACACGTGACCAATTCAGCTAATCAGAATGCAGGAATGTCATTGAACATAACGAAAATTTAATTATTTGGAGTTTAATTCGTATAAGCTGTAAAATAATATATATGTAAGTATAATACTATATAAGACAATCTATATAAGTTCAATCTAGGGATTTCTCTGAATGATGTCACTGGGAGTGAGGAAGTAGGGTATAGTTTTATGCCGCATTCGGCAATATTCTAGCACTGTCACAGCGGGCTTCATTGGGAAACACCCAATTTATTTTCCCTCCGTCATAAAGGAGCTCGTCGTATTAACTTGTATACATTGTGTTGCAGATCTCAGACGTTTACCACTTCAGTGAAACCAGCAACGAACACGGGTATGATGCTGACAACCCTAGAGACATAACCCGGGCGTATTGGAATTCGAACCCACTTTAATTGGTTTCTGGCGTACCCAAGGGACATAACCTTGCACAGCGAATTGCGGCGCATTAGACGAGTGGGGCCCCCCAACCCCCTCGATATTAAGAAGGCCTGTTGGGATGAATTCATGTCACTAGTATAGGTGAGGTGAGGTGAGGTGAGGTGAGGTGAGGTGAGGTGAGGTGAGGTGAAATGGGGTTCAACGTTGCGTCCAAGATTATTGCACTTATATAGCGACGTGCATGCACGTGTATGTGTGTGTGTGGCTGCTTGTACTAGTCCGGTCTGATGCCGATTTATAGTGCAAGCACACTGAGATACTATGCCGCAGTTTAACATGAATATCCAAACTGGGACACAGTACACTGACCCCGAGCCGACCAGTCCTTGTTTTAGCCCCTTAATGCCGAGCGCCAGACAGGGTAACAACAAATACCATCTTTTTACGTCTTTTGGAATGGCGCGGCAGGGGATCGAACCCCGACCTTCCGCTCTTCGGGCGGACGCTCTACCACTAGACCACGGAGGCGGTTTTTGTCATCAGTACACGTGGCTTACCTTTTTCAATTGACTTGAAGCATTTCCTTTAACGATGAGGCCGAGTTCCTCCTCTGAGATTCTCGGATGGGAGTCGGGGGTGTCAAATACAGTGAAGGTCCATGGAAGCAGCACAAGAGCCGCGAAACCACCTACACAGATAAACATCGCTTACAACGAGTCCACTTCATGCATGACGTATTCACAACGTTGACAGAATACATGGGCATTGGGGTAGCCCACCTGTTAAAACGTTCACTTGTCAAACCGAGTTCAATTCCTATCAATTCCTTACAATGTGAGAATCCCATGTCTGGTGTCAGTGGGGCGGTTGGGTAGCCTAGTGGTTAAAGCGTTCGCTCGTCAAGCCGAAGCCCCGGATTCGATCATTTCTGGTGTCCCCCGCCGTGATATTGCTTGAATATTGCTAAAAGCGGCGTAAAACCAAACTCACTCACTCTGGTGTCAGCCGACGTCATATTTCTTAAATAGGACCGAATTAGGTTTATCAAGCATTTACTGGGTCAATTTATATTTTTCGGTACCCTAACACCCCACCCCCCACCCCCTAAAAACACACACACACACACACACACACCACACACACACACACACACACACACACACACACACACACAAACACACAAACACAAACACGCACACACTTTAACCAATCAACACCCGCCCATCCAACACCACGAAAATCGAATCGTCCGTCCGTAAAGGGGCGAATCGTTTCTCGTGTCCTCAATCACCAGCTAGATTAATTGGTCGGAGGGGCAGTTGTGAGGATTAATGTACTATTATTTATGCATTGGCACATAGCGGCTTATCTTATCTTTATTTTATATTGTCCTATAAGTTTCTTATTGACCAAATAACAGGTTAAATTTCATATTCGCTTACAGGCCCCTATCGTAATTAATTGACTGTAAGTATTCCAGAATGTAATGTTCCTAGATAGTAGACGTTATTGCATAAACATACCAAACACGTAGAAGGTGAACGGCCATCCATTATCGAGGTCGATGTCGCACAGAAACCCGGAAATGAAAAACGTCAGGATGCCGGCGATAGCAACTCCTGAATAAACAAATCATACAATTCAAACCTCACATATTCTATTCTATTCTTATTGACATCATTTATATTATCGATGCCCTTCTTATGCAGAGGGACCCGTGAAGATCCGGGGTAGAATAGCTCTTCAGCAACCCATGCTTGCTGTAAAAGGTGACTATGCTTGTCGTAAGAGGCGACTAACGGGATCGGGTGGTCAGGCTTGCTGACTCGGTTGATGCATGTCATCGATCCCATTTGCGTGGATCGATGCTCATGATATTAATCACTGGCTTGCCTGGTCCAGACTCGATTATTTACAGACCGCCGTCATATAGCTGGAATATTTTTGAGTGCGGCGTTAAACAACAAACCAACCAACTATCTACGTGACTTCAAATCTACACATCAGCATCAGTACGGAACCTAGGATATGAATCCCACCACTTCCTTTCGCCATTACATTATCATGTTTTCAACCGGGAATAATCATTCCTAGATATTTATTGTTCGTTCCAACAACCCAAAACAATGAGGAAGATTTAAAGTACACATTTTATGTTTGTCTTAATTATGTTATTTTGTTAAGGGCGGTGGGGTAGCCTCGTGGTTAAAGCATTCGCTCGTCACGCCAAAGGCCCGGATTCGATTTTAAACATGGGTTCAATGTGTGAAGCCCAGCTTTGATGTCCACCGCCGTGATATTGCTGGAATATTGCCAACTTACACACAACCAAGGAGCAAATAACAAATTTATGGAAAATTACCCGAAAAAGAGGTTGTTGTGAGCTGGCTTTTTTCATACTTCGGGGCCCACTTTGCCCATAGGCCTTGAATAGCAGGATCAATAGTGCCCTGAAAGAGATTTTGATATTTAAATACAATTAAAGTCCGAGATAATACTACAGGACGATTATAACCGTACGCGTTTATGTGCAGTGTGTTGAGAGGATCAGCAATCCTGCAGAGTCCTTCACTTGGATGAAGTCGTCTGGCCTGAAAAGTGAAACAGAAGGCTTTCTGTTTGCTGCTTAGGACCAGTCACTTCCAACTCGAAACCGTCAATGTGTGATTTTGCATCAAAAAGTGAATATGAAATGTAGATTATGTAATGAATTTAATGAGACTGTCCAACACATTGTCAGTGGATGTCCAGATTTGGCACAGACACAGTTTCTTAAGCGCCATGTTCGGGTGGCTCGATCATTGTATTACCGCCTTCGCCATGCTTGTGGTTTTGACACAGAGGTCTACCCATGGTACGACTCGGAATATGAAGAGGGCGTCATGGAAAATGATAAATACAAAATCCTTTGGAATAGGCACGTATACAGCCTCAGACGTATCCAGGCCAACAAACCTGATCTCGTCCTTTTTGATAAATCCAATGAAATTATTTATATCATTGAATTTTTTGTCCCTTTTACAGTTATGTGATTGACAAGATAGAGGAAAAACATGGCAAATATGCAGACATCGCTTTCGCTTTCGAAATCATCTAAAACCTCTTTGCTGCATTTTTTATTTGAATCTGTAATAATAATAATAATATTAATAATGGTTACATTGCTCACCATGAAGAACCCGACAATTATTCTCAGTACAATCAAGGCATCTGCATTCCATCTCGCTGCAATGGGTGTCAACAATGTCGCCAGGGAACCCACTGCCACCGATATTGCGATTACAAGTTTGCTGCCAAACTTTCCCGCCACATATCCACCGACAACTGGCGTGAAAATAAAGCCGATGGTATATGACGTCAGTATCAGGCCTTCAAACTCAGAGTCCCAATCAAATTCGGCGATCTAAAAAAATAAATCAAGAATAAATAAAGAAAATTTAATCATGTCTAAATGTTCGATTCTCAAAATCATATTTAAACAGAAGATTGTCCATTACGTTTCCCAACTGCATGACTTTACATTAATTGTCTGGACACTGACACCAACACCCTCATTTCGAATTCGGGTTCTATTAAGAAACATTCGCGAGTTATTTAGTAACTTTGGTTTAACGCCGTTAATATATCGTGGTGTGTTAGCTTCATGTGTAAGGAAAGCCCGAAGTAATGCAGAAGTGATTTAATTTTGTGGATGATCAAGGATGATATTCGGTGTCAGTTTGGGATTCAAACCCATCACAAACGGATCATCGCAACTACAAGGGACGCAACTCTTCCCATGAAGGTTAAATCGCTTGGGAGCATAGGGCGCATGTGTCGTTTTTAATATGTCTCCAAGTATCTAAATGTTAGAACCGTTTCCGTAGCATTTGTATAGAAAATAGTGACCAAACTGTGCATTATTTTTCATATATTTATGTACTTACCTGAAAATGTGTCCGATTAGTTT